ATCCAGTTCCTAACCAAAGACTATTACCAAATGCAAGGATTATTATAAACTAACTAAAATGAATTAAAACATTTTAATTCTGATTAAGTGTGGGTGGGTGTGTGTGTTTGGGGCAGAGGGGCAAGAGAACACATCAATTATCCTTTGGTTAAGACTTTTCACATTTCCCTTTCACCTCTGAACAGAATCCAACAAACGATTTGAAGCTTAAAAGCAACTGTGGTACAAAGCATTGATGTGATGTAGCTGAGAAACTGGCCAATTGTGAATAACCTGAAGGATGCATACATCTGCATTTGGATCAGAGAATCCTGCAAGTTCAATATCAGCATGTGAACAAACTTTAAATGGCATTACCATTTCTCTGACCCAGCAAACATTCACTCTTCATAGTGATAATCCTGGTGGCTTACATATTTGTCTGTGGCAGGATACTCAGCAGCCCTCCCCACATAATGTTCCAGGTTTGAAAAAGCAGTCCACTATATTAAAAATGTAAAGACGCACTCAACAGTAAAATAAAAGCAGAGCTAGATTTAATATACAGATTATTGAATTTCAAAATTGAACTTCTTGCTGCATACAAATTTGATGCACTTACAAACACAGAATTCCAACTGTATCTTCAAAAAGAATAGAATTAAGACTTGTACACCTCAGGTTACAAAAAAAAATAAGATGTCATACTTTGGTGTATATAAAAAAAATCTAAAACTGACAAAGCTATTTGTATAATGGCAATTCTAATCCTAGATGGAAATATCTAAAAGCAGAAAATGAGACTTGTGTAGACAGAAGGGTTTACATCTTTAAAATTAAACAATTGCTGATCAAATGACAAAACCTGATGATTTTTACCCTTTCCCCAACAGCAAATGTAAAAATAAATTTTAATACGTCATTGATCATTTTACGAAAGATTCCAATACAACTTTTTTTGCAGACAGCCACAAGCAATTTATATAACAAAACACAATGTGCTGGATATTAAATTTGCCATTATCTATCTATTTAGAACACAATAGGATGGAAAACTAGAAGGTAGGCAAATATGTTAAAAGTATATTGCTGGAGTCTCCCAATAGATGGGTTAGAAATCTACTGTCTATTTTCGTGATCTAGTTGTATATCTAGTTTGATTGGCTTGAGGTTTTTTGGTTTCAGGACTCTTTTCTTTTGTGCTCATTGCAGTCTTCAATTTTCTAGTCTGGGTAGTCATCTTTCCATCGACTGCTTCTATAAAGTTAAAGAAACACCAATGGGATGTTAGATAGAAAAATAATAATTCTGTGACTCAATCCACGACTGTTTGTGGGACACTGCTGTGTGCAACTGTCTACTGCGTTTTGCCCATAAAATATAGTCAATTCACTTTCCTCCCGACATGAAAGCCGCTTTACAAATGTAGTTGTTGTATTCTGTGAAGTGCTTTGAGACATCTCAAAGATGCTATACCAAATGCAAGGATTATTATTATATTATGAAAGTCCAAATTGTAAATCAACAGTAATAAAATAACTGTAATCAAACTGTACACAAAAAGAGTCACAATCCAGCTTTGACAAAAAAAATCAAATTGTGAATTTTAAGACAATTATTTAGCACTGTTATTGATTTATTTTGAAATCCGGAGTGAACATCCTAGGGCCACAATGAGTGTTTTCTTACCTCTTTTCTTGGACCTTTTAAAAGTTACAGCATCTGTAGTTTCTGTAGCAGCACGCTTTCCTCTCAGATTACTTTTTGAACTGCTTTGGGATGCTGGTGTAAGTGATACTTCAGCTGACAATTGAAGAGATTCCTCTACCATATCTGTGGCTCCAAGTGCTTTATCAGCTCTTGTCATCCTCTTGGCTGGTTTTGAAAACTTAGCTGAGGGAAGTTCACATTTATCCTCTGCCCCACTTGTCGTCAGTTGGATATTCTGGTAACTACTTGTTTGTATTTCAAGTCTGGATTGCTTTCCCCTCTTTTTAATTGGCTCAGCTTCTTCTACTTGAACAACTGGAACAATAGCTGCCGTTTTGTGAGCATTTCCTCTTCTTGCTCGTTTGTATTTTTCTGCTTCATTAGCCAAATTCTTTACATTGTGCTCGTTTTCAGTTATATTCCCATTTACCTTCTGATTGATTGCAATCATTGAATTTTTAACCATTCCACGACCAGCTCTTCTGGGGGTCTTGACAGGAATAGCAACTTCTGCACCCTTTGAAATAGGATCTTTTAGACCTTCCTCGGAAACCTCTTGCATAACTATTGCAGCCTTTTCCATTTTCCTTTTATCACGTTTATTATAAGATTTTGTTTTCTCCGCCTTTTCTTTCTTAGTGGGAACAGATTCATTTAAAATCACCTCAGAAGATTCTTCTATAATTTGCATGGCAGGATTCGCAGCACAATCATCTTCCGCCACGCATTCCGTCACAATCACCATTGTAGATTTCCCTGTTCTCGTGTTTCGTCTTGGTTGAATGACTTTGATTTCATCATCCCCCTGCGATGGCAGCACTTTTATTCTCTTAGACTTTCCTCGTTCTTTATGTACTTCTGCCACTACATCGTGTGTAGACACCCCTTCAGTCACAGCACATAATTTAACATCAACTTCAGTTAAATCCAGTTGGGGTTCAGTTTGCCCTGATGTTTCAACTGGGTATTCCTTTGATCGTTTGCCCCTCTTGTTCATAGCTACTGAAACATTTCCTTTTCTCAATCTCCTTTCTGGCAATGAAGATTTTTCTTTCTCTTCAGCAGTCATATGCAGTTCTTTTCCTGTAGATGCACTCATTTTCTCCTCAGTTTTGTTTCTTTGCGACTTTCTTACAGACATCTCTTGCAGATTTTTCCCCTTATTTTGAATTTCTTTCTGCGCAGCCCTCCCTCTGAGCGTTTTCTTTTTGGGTGGAAGATTTACATCAGATTGAATGTTTTGACTATACTCATCCACTGCCAATACACCTTCATTGACATTTTCAACACGCTGGTCATTTTCAGACAACTCCTCTGGCTCACAAAATATAATGTCTTTCCCCTTGGATGTTTCTTTTTCCTGGTTTATTAATGCAAAGGCATCATTTGTATTAGATATTCCATCACTATTTTCACCCACTGTTTTTCCAGATTCTTTCAACACAAGTGAAATTGGAGAATTCACTACCTTCTGTGCGTGTGCAAGTCTTCCTCTTCGCGCTCTAGGTACAGTTATAGGAAATTCAGTTACCTCACTTGCCTCTTGTACTGATTCTAATGCACAGACTGCTTCTGACAATTTGGGATCCCAGCGTACAATTTTCTTCAAGCATGATACTTCTTCCACTTTTTTGGGTCTCCCTCTACGTGATTTTTTTGCTAGGTCAGGAGTGGGCTCTTTATTTGCTCTCTTTCCTCGTACAGACGTAGATTTGGAGGTGGCCGAATCTTCCTCCTTGGATTGCTTTTGACCGGAAGACACTTTAACTTTGCAATCATCTTCTTGCTGATCCTTTATCTCATTTTCTGAGGCAAACAATTCCTGAACATCCTTAATTGGTGCACCTCGAGTTCCTCTTTTCCGTGTGTAATTCTTTGCTTGGCTAGCTGTATTTTTTTCTTCTGCCGTTTCCACATTTGCATTCTTTCCTCTTGATTTTTTTGCTGTTGTATTGGATATGTCTATGTCTGGTCCTGGAGAATGTTTAGTTTCTGTGCCTTGTGTGGATATCTTGGGTGAGACACAATGATTTTTTGCAACCTCAGGTTCCTCAACATTTTCAATTTTGTTCTTTCCTCTTTGCAATCTCTTCCGCAAAGCTAAATCTGATGTTTTCTTGGCTTGTGAAACTTGATTTTTCTTGCCTCGTGTGGAGGTTTTTGGTGTGGTAGGTGAATCTATCACTTCTATATCTTCAACATTGTGAGTTTCATTCCGTCTTGAAGTTAAATCTACTAATTGACCAACTTGTGGAGCTTGGGCTTTGCTTTCATCTTTTGTGTTCTTCAGTGCTGAAGCAACTGGACTTTTTATTACCCCAAGTTCTGGGGCATTCTGTGCTTCATTACTATACATTATTAACTTGGATTCTAGCGTAGATGACTTGTTCACCTCTTCAATTTGTCCACCATGAGGTACATTTCTTGGTGAGGTACTCTTTGTTGCAGCAGAATATTCTTGCACTTCAGCAATGCTAGCATTCTGACTTTCATTCTTCCCTCTCAGTGTTCTTCGGGTTTGTGGCACCAAATCAATTATATCCTCAGCTTGTCCATCTTTGGACTCTTTCTTGTCTAGTGTAGTCGTCTTGTTGGAAATCAGCAATTCTTTCACTTCAGCGTCTTGAAGGTTTTGCTTATCCCTCAATTTTATTGACTGTGAAACTAATTGACTCATTTCTTCAGTTTGTTGACCCCAAGGAAGTAATTCTTCCACTTTAATTTCTTTCAGATTTTTCCCTTTATTTTCAATTTCTTTCTGCGCAGCCCTCCCTCTGGGCATTTTCTTTTTGGGTGGAAGATTTACATCAGATTGAATGTCTTGACTAACCGTTTTATACTCATCCATTGCCAGTACACTTTCATTGATATTTTCAGCATTTTTGTCATTTTCAGACAACTCCTCTGGCTCACAAAATATAATGTCTTTCCCTTTGGATGTTTCTTTTTCCTGGTTTATTAATGCAAAGGCATCATTTGTATTAGATATTCCATCACTATTTTCACCCACTGTTTTTCCAGATTCTTTCAACACAAGTGAAATTGGAGAATTCACTACCTTCTGTGCGTGTGCAAGTCTTCCTCTTCGCGCTCTAGGTACAGTTATAGGAAATTCAGTTACCTCACTTGCCTCTTGTACTGATTCTAATGCACAGACTGCTTCTGACAATTTGGGATCCCAGCGTACAGTTTTCTTCAAGCATGATACCTCTTCCACTTTTTTGGGTCTCCCTCTACGTGATTTTTTTGCTAGGTCAGGAGTGGGCTCTTTATTTGCTCTCTTTCCTCGTATAGACTTAGATTTGGAGGTGGCCGAATCTTCCTCCTTGGATTGCTTTTGACTAGAAGAGACTTCAACTTTGCAATCATCTTCTTGTTGATCCATTAACTCATTTTCTGAGCTAAACAATTCCTGAACATCCTCAACTGGTGCACTTGGAATCTCTCTTTTCCATGTATACTGACTTTCATCCTTCCTCTCAGTGTTCTTCGGGTTTGTGGCACCAAATCAATTATATCCTCAGCTTGTCCATTTTGAGTTTCTTTCTTGTCTGGTGTAGTAGTCTTGTTGGGAATAAGTACTTCTTCAACTTCAGTGTCTTGAAGGATGTGGAGTTTGCTCTTCTCCCTCAGTTTTATTGACGGTGAAACTAATTGACTTATTTCTTCGGTTTGTTGATCCCAAGGTCCCTGCTCGTCTGGAATGATGCTCGATTTTGGGGCCAGCAATTCTTTCTCTTTAACTTCTTGATCATTCTCACATTCATTGTTCCTCCTTAATGATCTCCTTGTTGGTGTAGTTAATTTGACTTCTTTAATTTGTCCCCCTTGAGATTTTCTGCCTGGTGTAGCACTTTTTATTGTGGCACAGGATTCCTTCACTTCAGTATTTTGAGGATTTGGGATTACATTTGGCGCTATCAACGATCTCCTGGTTGGTGAAGCTAATTTATTTACTTCACTATAACCAACTATAGACACATCCTTATCTGTTGTGAGGTTCTCTTGTGGTAATGCCAATTCTTCCACACTTCCTTGAACATTTTCAGTCTCATCCTTCTCTTTTAATGATTTCTGCATTGGTGATTTCAATTTGTTTACTTCAGCTTGCACATTCTTAGATTCGAATCTCTCAACTACACTATTTATTGTATACTTTTCACAATTTACTAGTATTATTTGGGCATGTTTCTCATCTTTCTTTATTTCTGGCTGTTTTAGTTTGTCTTTCCTTTGTAGAAGCACTTTTGTTGGTGTACTGATAATTGGCACTCCACTGACATTTGGAGATTTCTCAAGCATGTCAGAGCCTTCCATTGTAGAATTATCAGAATCCATAAGCTCAACTAGGGAATAAAATAAAAACAGTGCACATTATAAGTTAGTTTACTCGTACATAACTACAGCAGTTAGCTTTTAGACGACATCTTGGTCCAGTGAAAAGGACTTCAGACTAACCTATTTTAAAAATATAAATCCAACAGCATAGTTTAATAAAAGCATGAGGACTTCAAGTACCAACCTTATAGATACCTGAGAACAGGCCAGTTTGTGGCTGAACCACAAATTTGACATCAATACCATACAAAACACCAATGGGGACACAAAGACCTTAGTTGGATTGAACACTGTACTCCTTGTACAGTCAATAGTTACATAAGCAAAATGAGTGTTTGAATCCAAAAGATAAGAGAACTCAAAAGGTAAAACTCTCTCAATGGTACGAGAACATCTTCCAGGTAGTCTCTCACAATCAACTTCTCATAGCTGGATATCATTTTAATTTCATGAATATACCAACAGATCACTTGGAGAAAAACTTACAGTAAATCACAATCTTAACTGGCTCAAAAAACATACCAACATCATGCTTGGAAAATTCATCTGTAGTTTCAAGCTGATTTGACGGCTGTACATATTCTTTATTGGAAAATGGAGGAGACTTTGTGTTCTTATCTTGGTCTTGCATTTTAGTTAGCTAACAAAACAAAAATATTCAAAATAAAAACTTGCAGAAAAGCTAGAAACAAAGGCACATTTGAAGAATTCAAGAACGATATAAAAACTGAAATCAATGTAATTAAATTGTTAAAACACCAAACTGTAAAGGACAGGATTTAAAAAAATGAATTTTAATTTACTGAAAGTCTTGGCATTTTTGACTGATCTCTTAAGTAACATGTAATGTATATGGGGCTTGAAAGCACTTATTTAATCAGTGCAAGTTGTGTTTACTGCACCTACTGGGATTGTTTTTTGCAGTCACATCTTCAATCCAACCCAAATTGCAGCTATAACTGGAAATAAATTTGTCCCCAGCTAAAGTCAACACATTGGAAACGTCAGCAGCCTATAGAAGTAGTAGAAGATAGCCAATTAAATAGCAAAATTAAGGAATTTCAGAAAGTGAGCGTGCCCCTGGCCTACTCAACATAAGATTACAAGAGATTCAAGAAGGCCCTGCAGCCTATCTGATCTCATCTTTCCAGAACACCTACACTATCTCAGGAAGGCCAAACAATAGGGAAAAGTCAGACAATGGGTATATTGGGCCTTTGCCAGCAGGTCACACAGTCATATGGTAGCAAGACAAAGACACAAGACAGGATAGTACTGGCTATTTGAAGGAGGGTACAGATAAGGAGATAAACAGAAAAACTTAAGTTCTCAGATTTTGGGGTCTGTTCAAATTCCTGGCATGCAGATTTATAGCAGTAAACGTTATAAACATTTCATAGTTATGAAGTTATTCTAGTTTTTCAATAAACCTTTGTACAAGTTTATTTTACCTTAATTCCAGGTGTCGAAAACGACTTTCTGCAACTTCGTCTGGAGGCTGCTTTTGTTACTGATTGTTCCTGATCATGCTGCTCCATTTTATTGATCAATTTGGTTTCAGATAATTCCTTTGAATCAACTGTCTGTCCATCATCACACGCTGCATTTTCAAGTGCAAATGATGCATCAGTTGCTCTCTTCCTCCCACTTTCGTTTGAGCTTTGCTGCAGCTCAGACTCTACAGTCTCCTCAGTTCTTTTAGGAGTAGAGAACATTTCACCCAAGCCGCTGTAATCAGTAGTTTCCATCACTTTTGTGGTATGAAACATTTCTTTAACTCCTACATAACTAACCTTAGGACTCTTGGCCTTTTGTTTCGATTCAGCCATCAATTTTTGTAGTCTTGCAAAATCTTCCTCTTGGCCCCCCTTTATTTTTGGAGTTTTCATAATTTGTTTTATACTAACCACCGGTATCCCTTTTACTTTGGGAGTTTTCAATGGTCTCTTCAACTCTACCATGTCTTCCACTGGTTTGGTCTTTTCTTCAGGAGACGTTAATAACGTACATCTACTCGTTAGATCATCAGTTGGTTCCTCCCCTCCTTTTAGAATGTTCACACATTTTACATGCAGTTCTTTTGAGTTAGAAGACAAATCAACTCTGCACGTCAGTGAACCTGTAGATCTTCTTCTTGTACTTCCAGGAGTAGTTAATGGTGAGATGACCATTTCACCTAAAAATAATTGCAAAATTATAAATGATCGTAACAGCAAACAATGACAAAAACAGCAAGAAGTGACTGAGACATGGGAATATTTAATCCCTTGGAAAAAAATTGTCAATACTTCTCAATCACTATTTGAGAGTTTCATGCAGCAACAAAACCATTTAGGAGAGTAATCTTTTGTGTTTTCTCCTGCAAAAACAAACTGTTCAATTCAAGCTATTAAAATGAAAAGAAATTGATGGTATTCTATGTGACCTCTAATTCAGGTCTAAATATTGTGCCAAAACCAGAAAGGGGTCCAAAGTGACATCAAAGGCAAAACAAAAAAGTATATAATTAAGTCATCTACTGCTATACAATCTATAAATGCAGATTACAAAATCAAGTGTAGATATTAACACTTTCGTGAATGTTTTAATCACCTTTAAAGGTGACAGATAACTACAACAAAATTACATTTGTATTACATATTTCATGTCAAGAGGACATCCCAAGGTGCTGGACAATCAATGTTTCGGACCCGAGGTGGGGGTCGGGATCGGGGAGAGTGGAGGGGGGAGGACATGAAGCAGGCCGGAAACTGCTGAGCAGAGGGAGCGGGCAGGTTTGGTGGTGGTTATGAGGTCGCAGAGCTGGGGGAGGCCATAGAGGGCTTTGAAGGTGAGGTCCAGGATCTTGCACTGTACCCTGTGTGATGGGAAGCCAGTGCAGTCGGGAGAGGACACAGGCTGCAGAATTCTGGATGATCTGCAGCCTATGGAGGGAGGAGCTGGGGAAGCCGGCAAGCAAGGAGTTAGCTTAGTGAAGCCTGGATGTTATGAATGCGTGTATGAGGGTCTCGGCGGCCTGCGGTGTAAGACAGTGGCAGAGCCGGGCAATGTTGCGGAGCTGGGGGAAGGTAGAGCGGGTCATAGCGCAGATGTGGGGTAGAAGGGATAGTTGAGGGTCAAACAAGGTTCTGGACTGGCTTAGTAAGGTGGAATGTGCATCCTCGGATGGTGATGCTCTCAGTGCCTGAGGTGTGGAGGCACTAATGGGAGCCAATCAGGAGGGCCTCGGTCTTGTTGACATTCAACTGTAGAAAGTTAGCTCTCATCCGCTACGATGTCTGACAGACATTTTGTCAAGACAGCAATTGCCTATTAGGCATTAATTGTAACTGCAAAAAAGAATAACTGGCGAGCCAAATACAATGGAAATTGATTTTACACCAACCAGTTTCTTCGGACGTTTTGATAACTGAGCCTTCAAATGAATTCTGAGATACTTGAGTGCCTGTAATAGTTTGAGAACGTCCAACTTCACTTGAGATACGCAGTCTTGTACTTGCTCTTCGATTTTTCTTCGTGGGAGTCGTGAACATTTCAGCCACACCTATTAAATATAATTGCGTGTTTATTAATAACAAGTAGTTACATACAAGTGTATCAATTTCATGTACAATCATAACTCAGTTACAAATATAAATATCTGGGTAATCCTTTCAACAATTTAATGTTGAAAATGGATATCTAAAACAGATGAATAACAAGATGTATAACACTCTAGATCACCTGTAAAACTTTGATCCATTGTCAGGCTTTTACGTCTGAGTGAGACATTTGTCACTGTACGAGGAGGCATTCCAGTTGTTTTAACAGTAGTAGCCTGTGCTTTGCCAATGACAATTGTTGCTGGGGAAACAGCATGCCCGGTACTATAATGGCCTTTCACCGATCTAATGGGTGTCTGTTGATGAAATAAACATTACATGAAAGTAATGCTAATTTTGTGATACTAAAATCATTGCAATACAAAAATACAATACAAAATTACATTTGTATAGCGCCTCTCACATAGGGAGGACGTCCCAAGGCGCTGAGTTGTCCATTTCACTTGCAATGAAAATAAGAACATAAAACTTCATATTCAATAACTTAAGTTTGCAATCAGATTTATTGCAGTAAACTTTATAAACATTTTATACAGTTATTCCTATACTATGTGGCTAAGTTTAGCTTTTCAATCAAACATACACTTATGTTTCATTTGAAACATACAATTTACTTTAGCACCTTCCCCCAAAGGGGGAGGGGGGGGGAAGATGTAGAGCAGTGGTCCTCAACCTTTTTGGGCTTGGGATCCATTTGTAAACCTTAATGATCTGTCCTGAACCAGTAAACAGCTTTAGTGCAAAATACACCTGGCTAACCAAATATTTCTTACCCACGATATCATATACAAATAAACTTTGAATAGAAAATACTCCCTCTTTAGAAGTACTCTTCCCCTTTAAATAGTTTTTTGTCCAATATTATCCATTAAATACTACACAAACCTTTGGAACTTTTGAAGACGAATTGTTCTTAATCTGTCTCCGCATCACAACACGCTTCTTTGGAGCAGATCGGAATTCAGACTTTGCCACTCCCTCCTTCACTACCTGTGCCCATGATTTTTTCACTAAAATAAAAATAGCAAAATGTTTAAAATTGACAACTCAAGCACACAAGAAAACAATTCACCATATAATTTATCAATCTATCTTCAACACGTGTGCCCTTTCTCTTCCAGAATAAATAATAATCCTTGCGTTTGATATAGCACCTTATCACGTCTTCAAGATGTCTCAAAGCGCTCCACAGAATATTCTGTAAATTGAATTGATTGTATATTTTGTGGGCAAAACGCAGCAACCAATTGCACACAGCAGTATCACAAACAGTCGTGGACTGAGTGACCAATTATCATTATTATTAGTTTGGAGGGACTACCCCTGGAAAAGCGATCTGCCAATCAACTAACTGACCAATTATCATTATTATTAGTTTGGAGGGACTACCCCTGAAAAAGCGATCTGCCAATCAACTAACAACTGAGTTCCTACTTTCTGCTAAGTGAATAGAGATGTTTCGAGTAAGGAAACTTGCCCAACATTTCGCCCTGCTCGGAAATCAAACCCAGGTCCTCTCGCTTGCGAGGCGAGTGCTCTAACCACTGAGCTACCGGATTGAGGTCCAAAGCAGAGAAATTCATTCGAACATGCAATATATAGGATATGCACCACACAAATATTTATTACCTTGGCTTATTTCCCTCTTACCCTTTTTAATCATGGTCATAGATATGGTTATTATAAGTAGATGGATACATATTTAATGAAATATCCAGAAATGATCCTACCTAATAAGTTAGCAACTGAAGCTCCACTTTGCCTCCTGGAATATAAACCTGCTGCAAGAGAAGCACTTCTTCTAGCACTTTTTCGGGAAGGAGTCGTCTTAAAATTTGGCAGCTTGTTTGTTGTCTGCTGATGTTGCTTCAACTTGGGTGATGCAGAAGCTGGAAAAACTTGAGAAGTTGATTCAACAGCCAGAATAGGAGGTGTATTAGTACGAGAGACGGAGAATCGTCCACAGACAGAAGGTGAAGGATTGAAGGATCTCGAGGAAGCTGACCGAATCAATTGCTTGGCTGTTGACATCTTGGTGGCCAGTGGTGAGAATTTCTTTGTAGTAGATAACTTCTTGGTATCTGATAAACAGGGCATTTTGGCAACACGGGGCCTCTTGGCTGACAAGGTAGCTGATATCTTCATCATGAATGGTCCATTTGAGGGCGATTTTTTGATGACTGATGAGGTAAATGACTTCCTGCCTGGAGAGGGGGTCTTGGCAGCTGGTGACATCTCGTCTTGGGAGGGGCTCTTGGCGGCCAGTGACTTCCTGCCTGGGGAGGGGCTCTTGGCGGCCAGCGACTTCCTGCCAAGGGAAGGGCTCTTGGGAGTCAGTGAATTCCTATCTGGGGAGGGGCTCTGAGCTGCCAGTGACTTCCTGCCTGGGGAGGGGCTCTTGGCAGCCAGTGACTTCCTGCCTGGGGAAGGGCTCTTGGCAGTCAGTGACTTCCTGCCTGGGGAGGGGGTCTTGGGAGTCAGTGAATTCCTGTCTGGGGAGGGGGTCTTGGCAGCCAGTGACTTCCTACCTGGGGAGGGGGTCTTGGCAGCCAGTGACTTCCTGCCTGGGGAGGGGGTCTTGGCAGCCAGTGACTTCCTGCCTGGGGAGGGGGTCTTGGCAGCCAGTGACTTCCTACCTGGGGAGGGGGTCTTGGCAGCCAGTGACTTCCTACCTGGGGAGGGGGTCTTGGCAGCCAGTGACTTCCTGCCTGGGGAGGGGGTCTTGGCAGCCAGTGACTTCCTGCCTGGGGAGGGGGTCTTGGCAGCCAGTGACTTCCTTTCCTGGGAGGGACTCTGAGCTGCCAGTGACTTCCTGCCTCGGGAGGGGCTCTGAGCTGCCAGTGACTTCCTACCTGGGGAGGGGGTCTTGGCAGCCAGTGACTTCCTTTCCGGGGAGGGACTCTGAGCTGCCAATGACTTCCTACCTGGGGAGGGGGTCTGGGCGGTCAGCGACTTTCTGCCTGGGGAGGGAGTCTTGGCAGTCAGTGACTTCCTGCCTGGGGAGGGGGTCTTGGCACCTGGTGACTTTTTGCCAAGTGCAGGGCTTCTTGCAGCTGGTGATCTCCTGGCTGGGGAGGGATTCTTGACTGCCATTTCTGTCTCTTTGGGAGAAGTACTAACATGGCCTGCTGGAGGCATATTTGATTTTACTGGCATCACAGTAGACAACTTTGAGCTTCTTTTGCATGGTTCAGTTAATTCCTTTTTTTAAAAAAAACAATTGCAATAGTTAAATCAAGCAAGGTTTTTTCTGAATTATGTGAAATTCACTTAGAATTGTAATAAAGTTCCTTTTCTCCCACTCAAACCATATATATGCCCTCAAATTAAATTTGAGTAACTAAGATAAAACCTACTGTAATTTCCTGAAACGTTCAGGACCACCATAAGCTAAAAGCTGTTGTACCTCCTTTAACTTATTGGATAAAGGATTTAAAACATCACAAAAGGGACCTTGAAGAGGTATGTAAAACCTTACATGGAATTAAAAACTAAAACCTGGAAAAATTTAGGAATACGCCAATACAGTATTACAAGAGGACACAGGTTTAGAGTTGGAAAGGGCAATTTCAGAATGAACACTAGGAAATATTTATTTTATTAGTGGTAATTAACGATTGGAACAGGTTGACAGGAAAGGTAGACTCATCCAAAGAACAACTTTATGTAGTGATGGAAGGAGAGCAGCAAAGGTATTCTGGAAGGATACTATTGAATGGGCTTCTTCATCCAAAACAATCATGTCATCCTTTGAAAACATCTTTTGCAGTATCAGATTGTTGCCACAGGGCGACGCTGTTAGCAAACCATTTTATTGAATTTTTTATTGTAGTATCCAATTCCAACCACAGGATGGTGCTGCGCAAACATGTGGCATTCACAACAGAAATGTCACAGTAGATAACACCATACATTTAGTAATTTACTACTAAAGATAAAACTGGCAACCCTATAAAGGCAGATATGCTATTAATAATATATAATCCTTGCATTTGATGTAGCACTTTATCATGTCTTTGAAACGCAGTACAAATTGTGGAAAGCAGTATCCCACAAACAATTTAGGGTTGAGTGACCAAATTGTTTTTTTTATTGAAGGGATTAATCACCCCCAGAAAAGCGATCCGCCAATTGACTAGCAACCAAACAACTGGGCTACTTACTGCAAGGTAAACAGAGGCATGTGGAGTAAGGAAACTTGCCCAGCGTTTCACCAAACCCAAGTCCTCTCACTTGCGAGGCGAGTGGTCTAACCACTAAGTTTGTTACAGCCAATATACTTAAAGGGTCACAAATCTGTATATTAAAAAAATGGTTTATGGAGAAAAATCATAAACGAGTCTCCTGCATACTTTCCCCCATAACCTCAGCTAGTTGTATATGATAGCTATTAATTATTATACCATGAGGCACCAAAGTTTTGACACGCACGCTAATGATTACCTCAGTTATACAACTGTGTAGTCCCATATTCGAAGCACGTTTCAATGCTGTATTTGCAGAAACACTAAGTGGAATGCTGAATTTTCTTGGAGTGCCTCCTTTTCGAAGTGGAGAATTTGGTGGCATGCGTTTGTCAAATACTTCAGGACACAGGTTTACACCAAAAGAAACTCGCTTTTGCTTAGAAACTGGTTCACAGAGCCTCTCTTCTAGGTTTTCACTCCTGCGCTTTCTGGATGGACATGATACCGCACCTAACAGGAAAGAATTAAATTGTACAACTTAATTCACAATAGAAAAAATCCTCATGAAGAATTTGGCCACTCTTGGCCAGTCGGTATTTAAACAATTGAGTTAACAACACTAAGGGAAAAATTACCGAAACAACAAGAACAAGATTACATTTGTATAGTGCCTTTCACGTTGGGAGGACGTCCCAAGGCAGTGTACAGCATTTCAGAAACAATGTTTTTTGAAAGCTGGGTATCTGACACATGTAGAAATCCATCTCTGTGCTGAAGTATCCAAACCAAATAGAGTTCCATGTATCCCAGATACATAGAAATTCCAAATGAAAATCCCAAATTCCAGAGATGTTTATTTGAATAGAATGCGCACTCTCTCCCTGGAGCGACAACAACAGCAAAATGACATTTGTATAGCACCTTTCACATCGGGAGGACATCCCAAGGCATTGGACAGACAGAGTTACAGACCCAAGCTGAGGATTGGGGTGGGGGAGGGCAGGGGGGGAAGCAGGGAGATCGAAAGCGCGGACGAAGAGGTGGGTCTTGAAGGTGGCGAGGCGGAGGGACTGTGGGATGGAGTTCCAAAGGGTGGGTGCAGAGTGGCAGAATGTCCATCCGCCAATAATGGGTCGAGCAAGGCGGGGGACGTGAAGCAGGCCGGGTCCCGCTGAGCAGAGGGAGCAAACAGGGTGTTTGGGGGTTAGGAGGTCAGAGGTGGGGGGGAGCAAGACTGTGGAGGGCTTTGAAGGTAAGGACCAGGAACTTGAACTGTAGCGCCTGTGTGATGGGAAGCCAGTGGAGAGTATTAGCCACAGAATGGCAAGAGTCAAGCTTTGGGGGCTTTAGAATGTACGTTGGGAGTAATACTGGAGTCTAACCAGCTAAAACCATCAAGAGTACTGTATGGCAAACTTTCAATTAGGACCACCTTACTCATTGGGGTTTTCGCTTGCAGAGTTAACAGGAACCGAGTGGGAAGAATCCTCCGCCCCAAGTGTACCTTTCCAGCCTCGCTCAGGGACTGGACTACCGAGACCACTATAGAGGGTTGGCTTGATTCTGACATTCCATTGCCAAACTCTTTGGAGCCAGCTCAGCTCCAAGGATATCCCACTTACTTATGCTTCATATCAACTACACTATCTCCAGTTCCTTATAGAACTGGATCTTACCTAGGGGTGAGGGTAATAGTTTATTACTGGTCAAAGAATCATCAAGTTCTACGCCATCATCCTCATTCATTTGTTTCCCAGAGGAGAATGGTATTTCTTCAAATAAATCTGTCACCTCAGTTTCTTCACTAGTCAAGAATCTATGTGGATTTTTAGACAACCGACTCGTTTTTTTTGCATTACCTTCTCCTCTTTCATTCAGCAGAGGTGATGAAGAGAAAGAAGAATTCCTTTTCCCTTTTGTAACTGCAGGTGATGTTGCACCTGTTATTGGCTCTGGAGTTTCAAACTGAGGTTGCTCTGTTTGTATCTCTGTAACCTTTATTTGACTGAATTGCAACGATGGTCTGCCACATCGCTTGGGTGTTTCAGGTATTTTCTCTGCAACATGAACTGATGTATCATCCTTTCCAGTTAATTTTTCTTCCTCAACAACGTTTTGCTTTTTTCCCATTGAAGACCCAAGTACATCATGAATTTCTTTCAGGACTTCTTCAGCATTTAAGGATTTTCGACTAGTAAATGGATGACTCTTTCTCTTAGATTTTGGTGCATTGATTTGGCAGTCATTTTGTGCTTTATCTTGAACATCACCTGCCTTTGAAGATTCAAGCAACGCAATGTTTTCTTCTGAAGAGAGATTTTCTGTAAATTCTCCTAATCCCACAGAAGTACACCTTTTCTTTGGTGTATCTTTATTAACAGCTGTTTTTCCCAAGCATTTACTTGGAATATCCTGAACTAATGAAGCCTCTAAATTCTTCATTCCTTCCTTATCAGAATCATCTTCTTTTGGCATTTTACTTTCTTCTACTGCAGCCTGGCTCATACGCCTTGACCTCAATGGTGTCCTCAAACTCTTACTGCCTTGAAAAATATTGGCTTTAGATTCTTCTGCTGGCAATACAAGAAGTTTCTCTGTCGTCTCGGTGTTTTTTTTGTTTGACAGTTCAATATTTGTTTTTTTCTGATGCATTTGTAGAGCTTGGTTCTTGCACATTTCATAAAGTTTAGAAAAAGGAGAGACTTCCTTATCTGCTGGTTGCTCATCTTTGATATCTGCGGAGCTCCGTCCTTGCTGCCTCTTTGGAGCTTCATCTTCCCAGCTATCTGGTTTAGCTTTTGTTGGTTTAATTGGCTCATCAAAGACTCTATCCACACAAACTGCATCTAATGAAAACCACAAAATGCAAGCTTTTCATTTTTAAGAAAAGAAAGATAAATCCACAATTACACATATCTTTTTACTTACCGAATCAGTGAAATTCAAATCCACTTTACAGTATATCCTGTGAGACATCTTGACAACGTGACAAGGAACTATACCAAAAGTAAGGATTATTCGTTGATACGAATTAAATCCTGTAATAAACTAGTTCCAACTGAAAACGGCACATTAAACCCACACCTTCTGCCAATTTAAAGAATTCTTCCTACTCCTTGCTGGGTTCACTGTCATATTGACTTTCAAAGTATTGTCAAATTTTGACAATACTTTGAAAGTCAATATGATCGTTCAGCAAAGGTGAAATGGCAAAATAATGTCACAAAATCCACACTGCTACTTAATGCTGAAACCATTGAGTAACATGATATATGGTTTAACAGAGATCGAGAGACCAGTACCGTTTAAGAAAGAGAGAAGCACTCACACTATGTAAGTTTATAGTTACCACTACCACTCCTGATGAAAATCTTTGATTAGTACTGTAAGTCTTATTTGAAGTGATAACATGTTACCTTCACTATTTTCACAATAAAGCTAACTAGACTTAATGTGTACAAACTATCTATTCGTTACTAAAACGAACGTTTTTCTTCCTAAAAACAAAAAACACAACCAACCAGAAGTATGTCCACTCAATGACCGACGATTCTGTGCAGGCTGCACACCATGCTCTCCTCCCTGTTGAACATGAAGAACCTGTTAATTCAAACATTACCATGTTAACCGAGGAACAGACAACATTTAAGACTCATTTTTGCAAATTCATGTCCAAACTAGGATCGAGAGAATTCTAGTAATATCCTATGAAATGTTTACTTTTATACATTTTTTACATTTATACCATTTCACCATCATGGTATAACTTTCCAAAATTTCAATCGTAAAATATGTTCTACATCAAGGTGGTCCAAATGGCGGTCCATATCCAGCCTGAGGGATGATTTAACTCTCTGCTTGAAGATAGGCCTGGCCAATCAGAGGCCAGTCACTGGGGCAGGGGTTCAGGCTAATCATTATGCTCAGAAATTTTTTGGAATTTTCTCATGTGTCTCGGCAGTTTTATAAGATTAGCTCTGAACTCACATTGAGTTTCTGAATTGGTGTGTTCATGCGAAGACTTAAGGTCTTCTAAGTATTCAGAATATGTATACCAAGTAAAATAATTTGATTATGTCCAATTTTTTACACAATCTACTTCTAAATCGGTTGTTTATTCTCGATATTATTTTGAATTGTTTCTATCTTATACTTGTGGAGTCCTGTAGCTCAGTGGTTAGAGCACTCGCTTTGCAAGCGAGAGACCCGAGTTCAATTCCAGGCAGAGCGAAACCCTGGGCAAGTTTCCTTACTCCACAGAGCCTAATAATAATCCCTCCAAAACAAAAAACAATAATTGGTCATTTTCAATCTACGACTGTGGGACATTGCTGTGCCCAATTGGCTGCCGCATTCGCCCACAAATATACAGTCAATTCACTTTACAGTGTGTTCTGTGAAGCGTTTTGGAACATCCTCCTGACGTGAAAAGCGCTATATCAAATGCAAGGATTATTATTATTATATTCAGTGCATCTTTATTTTGTCCCGTTGTTAGTTTTACAGTAATGGATTAATCTGTTTCGGTTTTGCTGTGCAATCTCTGTGGTGGTCTCCATATTCTAAGTTATATTGTGTGTTTTGATTTCAATACACAAAAATTAACTTGATGTGTTATAATTTCCAATTGAGATTATCATTATTTTGTTCATTGTTAGGGCTACTAAATTATGTGCATTTTCTTTCACTTCCATAGTTTACTCTGGATTTAATGATTATTCATGCATATATGTACTCTTATTCATAGGTGTGTTATTGTTTTAAAATTTGCATGAATTTTCATATTGTCTATTAAAACTTTGCAATGTAACTAAAATATAGTGAAATTAAGTAATAGTTACACAATTTAAAACATTTCTATACGATTCTTACAAACTGTTTCTTGTGGGGAAACACAAAAAATATTGCTTATGTGGCCCACGGATGTTTTTTAAATCTGGCAACTGGCGGCCCACCTTATTTTATTCTACATGAATAGGATGTGGGCGATGTCAATTGGCAACACAGGTAAATTCAGCACACTAACATTTCAAACTTAATCAGATGTTATATCAAATGTTAGGATCATTATTTTATTTCAATGCTAATACTGAGATAGCATATCTAATAGGCAACATCACCCATGCCTGCTTCAAAAATACGTATTGATGCTGTAACCCAGTAGATGAGGAAAGCATTATTATTGCCGGTATAAATTTAAATACAATACCTGCAGAGTTTCGTTTTTCAGGCTTGATGAATTGCGCTTTATTCTTGTGTCGGTGAAATGCCCCGAATCCAAGGGGTACTCAAACCTACCATAAAGGAAAAAAATTAAAATTGGGAAATGTCCACTAAATGCACCAAATAGACAGTGTTCCTATATATTGTAAATTCACAAAAGCTGTAATAATTTGCTTACTACACTCGAGTAATAATCCTGTGACAAGCTTCGAGTCATTTCGAAGTGATAAGACACCACAGTAAAACTCACAAGTCGTATCAATCAATGACAGTTAATATGACTTACGCAACGTTCAAATTACAGGGAAACCTGTATAAATTGAACAAAATCCGACTTTATAATCCACACTGCATATGCGTAATTCAATGTAGCTGGTCAGGCGCATGCGGTACTTCATCACTGCAGCCGATTTGAAAAGTTTTATATAAATGTAAATTGCATTGTAACTATAAAATTCCATGTACTGTTTTATATAGATGCTCCATTCTTACCTGAAAGAGCGATCAATGATAGTGAATACATCGCCATGCTGTAGACGCTCAGAATGAAGTACAACTTTACCATTCAAAGAAGTCCGATTCACGTCACTCAAGTTAGACAGAATAACCTGCAGAATTAACCAAAGCAAAGTGAACATTTACAAACAAATTCTGTTTGCACCCAAAATTCTGTAAACAAAATCATTATACCAAAAAAAGTTACCTCGTTATTTTCATTTACTTCAAGCTTACAGTGTTCTTTGGAAACATGAGGCAGCTGGATACGGATGTCACAGTCTATTTTCCTAAAACAAAAAAGTTCCCAAGCACAAATGATTAACATGACACCCAAACTCTGAAATTAACTTGTAAGAGAAATTATTGCTTGAAAACACATGCTGTATATTACCTGCCAAACAAGCAGGAAGGTGCCATCAAAGGAAAATGGTACCCATCTGCTCCATTACGCTTAATAACAATAATTTGACCGTACAGCGGCATGTTTTCTGAATATTTTCACGTCTTCTTACCTAAAATAAATCAAGAATTTTCATATTAAAAGCTGTATAATGCAACATTTGTAACAATCTTAAAGGGATCTAAATACATTCATCCTAATCTGCATATCAAAATAGAATTTTGCCACATAACTTCTTAGATATTCTACTTTGGGAGCCAATTCAATGACTTCAGGTATTATCTTTGGCTAGTTTTATAATAAGCATATGATATGAACTACTGGGTAATCCAACACATCACTTCAAAAGCATAAGGCAAAATGTATTTACCTCATCAGAAAAATAATAATAATCCTTGCATTTGATATAGCGCTTTTCACGTCGGGAGGACGTCCCAAAGCGATTCACAGAACACACTGTAAAGTGAATTGACTGTATATTTGTGGGCAAACGCGGCAGCCACTTCCGCACAGCAATGTCCCACAAACAGTCGTAGATTGAAAATGACCAATTTATTATTGTTTTGTTTTTTGGAGGGATTATTATTAGGGCTGTGTGTGGAGTAAGGAAACTTGCCCAAGGTTTCGCTCTGCCTGGAATTGAACTCGGGTCTCTCACTTGCAAAGCGAGTGCTCTAACCACTGAGCTACAGGACTCCACAAAATGCTACAGTGTTAAATAATGTGACTTAAATTTACCCATTTAAAAATACACTAGTCTTCCTAAGGATTTTTTTCCTCCGTCATCTGCCAGATCCAGGGCTGTTGTTGGGCTACAACAACAGTCTAACTCTATATGTTGAAACATCTTTCCCGTATATCTTGAGAGGTAAAAACCATACAGCAGCAAGTGCAGATGTAATGAATCTGAATATGCATTGTAGGTTATAAAATAAACACACAATGGGTAGTTAATTCACTCAGATCTCTTCCAGATGAGTCTTTAGTTCTACATCACTACCATCAACCAACCAACATCATTCTCAAGTTGTACTACATCAAACTACAAAAATGACTTTCTTTGTCCAATTCCTCTCAAGGAGGGGGATCAGATTGAGCGATGGCTCACGCTCAAGAATAAATCATCTAAAATGAAGACTCAATCAAGCAAAATTCCACATAAAACATGAAAATATTCCCTAAAGTGAGCTTTAAAGGTTCTAAATCCCAGAATAACAAATCCTTGACACTCAATAACAGCTAAAGCATTCACGGTTGGAAAATGCCAGTGTCAAATTCATTAGTGACAGTAACAAAGCACCCATCCTCACTGAGTATACAGTAAAAGGTTCCGCTGTATTTTGAAAATTGTACACGTAAACTTTGAATACTCTTGTGGGAGTGGAAATGAACTTTAAACAATGCGGTTCGGAACATAAGAGGAAGCAACCAACTTTACCTTAAGATAAATGAAATTGCTGCATATACTTTGATGAAAAATTAAACAAGACTGTGTGGAGTGGGTTACTGTCACAAGTCCATTACCCTTTACAGTAAAACTCTTTGCGACATCCTCCCAACTTCCTCCCCTCCCCCTGGCACGATACCGGGATCCGTTACTGTAAAGCGCTCTGAGACACCGTCCAGTATGGAGGGCGTTATATAAATCCAAGTTGTTGTTCATGTGCTTTATCAAATATAAGGGTTATTAGCATTATTACTAAATCCCCCATCCCAACTTATCCGCGGAGACTTAAAACACTACAATTCTTAGCCGAAGAACTTCTTCCTTGGAGCACCGACATTTGCACCCAACTAGAAACAAGACAGGTCTCCGTTGACATTGGGTGGCGAAAAAACCTTCAGAAAGCCCAGGCACTGACTGAAACTCAACCGCCGCGCGTTTTTGCCATTGCAACAGACGGATACTGTACTGACAGGTGCTTTGGGATCGTGCATTCCCTGTGCATCTCGGCCACGAGAAAATGCGCTTCAGTTCGCACCCAACCCCCCCCAACCCGCCACGGCTCTCGTTCGTCTACACCAGTTCACCACTGGACCAATGGTGGCGGTGGGGGGGGGGGGGTAGGGAGGGAGACATTATGCTTATGATCGCGAACAGAAAGAAAACATTTAAAACGTCGAAGTGTCCGGGCGGCTCGGCTCGTCGCGTGCGCAAAAAGTGCGGCCGTTCAACTTAACAAATCAACAACGTTTATCTTTTTTTTTAAGTTAAAGCTGAGTTATTAATAATAAAAAAAAATCACAAATCCGATTTAAAGTTACCCGCGGAAACGCGGCGAGAGAGAGAGAGAGAGAGAGAAAAAAAACCACGCGCCAGAAACGCGCACTTGTCGAATACTTTTCACGGGTCCCTTTTTAATAATAATAATAATCCTTGCATTTGATATAGCGCTTTTCACGTCGGGAGGACGTCCCAAAGCGCTTCACAGAACACACTGTCAAGTGAATTGACTGTATATGTGTGGCGAACGAGTTAACAGCTCAAGGGTGTGTGTGTGTGTGTGTGTGTCACTGACACCTTGGAAGTGTACAGGAAAAGGGCTGCAACCCCCAACCCCCCCCCCCTCCTCCTCCTCCCCCACACACACACACACTCTCCCCCAAAGTAAACTGCAGCGTTGCGAGGAGAAAACGTGGAGGGGGAGAGAGAGAGAGAGAGAAGAGCAGCAAATAACTTGAAGACCCCCCACAAAAAAAAGGACAGACGAGATAAGACAAGACAAGGACGGGACGGGACGGGGCAGTTTCCGAGCAGGTTCAGAAAACCAGGCAACTCGTGGCAGGAAGAAGAAGAAAAAAAGTGAACTTCTGCACAAAACAAAGCAGCCGTTTTTTTTTAAAAAAATATATTAACAAAAAATACTGAAATCGCCATCCTTGAAAAACTCATCAATATCAGGCTCTCCCCCCACACACACACACACACTTTCTCTCCTCCCTCCCACCCCCTCCAAAGACCCGAAAGATCAACCCGTGGACATCACCCTTTTTTTTAAAAAAAATCTCTCTGTAGATATAACAAAATAAATCAAACAAAAAGAAAAAAAAACAAACGCCTTCCCCCCCTCCCCCCCCCCCGGCCACAAAACAATGTTTTTTTTATATAAAAAATAAAAATACACCACAAAAAAAACCCCACACACGTTTCTGAAAGAAGAACCCCCTCACCCCCCCAAAAAAAATGTGCGATGCTTTGTAAAAAGAAAAATAACAACGCCGACGACGAAAAAACGGCGGAAAAGTCGCAGCAAAGAATTGGCGGGATCTTTCGCTCTTCCCCTCACACACAGGTTCACTCGCCAGTTTATTAACCCCCCACCACACACACACACACACACCTCCGTTGCCTCTGAACGCCTCCGACGATTGTAAATCTGCCCGCCATCGCCCCCCAACTCAACCCCGTGTCACCTGTTTTTTTTTCTGAGAAGAATCCCCTTCGCCTCTAACAAATCCCTCTCCAAACGTGGGCCGTCTCCATTCGGGGGCCGACGAGCCGAACCGTTGGTATTCAAACCGAGAGACTTAAGCGCGCGGCGCAGCGACTCGAAATCAACCGCCCAACCCGCCCGCCCCACCGCGCGTGCGCCCTCCTTAAACCCCACCCCCTTCCTCCCTCCCTCCCTCCCGGGGACCAACGGTCAAAAGACATGGTTCGCGCCCCCTCAACATCACCGCAGCAGCAACACCAGGGGATGGATGGATAGACAAATAAATAAACAGATAGATAGATAAATAGATAGATGGGTGGATGGACGGACGAGTGAGTGAGTGATAAAGACATCCATCCATCCACCCACTCAGCCATTTCAACACACCGCATCCGAAACCTAATATATATATGTATGTGTGTATATATATATTAGTAATTATTCTATTTTATGAATATAATATTATACCCTTTTTTAATAAAAAATAATAATAATAATAATTTCCCTGCCAAATGAAAAAAAAACGATTCGAATAAAACGACCCCCCGCCGCCCGCGCGCGCCACTCGGCGGCGGCTGATTTCCAAACGGTTCCAATTTTTTTTCAAACGTTCAAAATGTTGGCGCCCGGGCTCCTGATTGGCTGCCTGCGAGCCGCCGCTCGGCGTCACCGGCCCCTCCCCCCCCCCTTCCTGGTGATGACGTCGGGGCGAGTAGCCAGGAGGGGCCGGTGCGCGTGCGCGAGTGGACAAGAGGTGGGGGGTGGGGGGGTTGAGGAGGACATCATTTTTATTGTATGATCCTATCCACAACACAGATGCATTCCAGGTGTTTCTTTTTTTTGTGCGTCGTCTTACCAGCAGGTGTCGGCTGCTTGAAGCGGATTGCAATCGTGTCCTCGGCGGCGGCGGCGTTTGGTGGTCGCTCCGCGGGATTCGCTGCCGCCCCCCCCCCCCCCCACAAAAAAAACACGCAAAAAGAAAGCAAGATAATAATAATAATAATGTCTCAAAGCGCTTCACAGGATACACTGTAAAGTGGATTGGCTGCGTATTTTGCAGGTGAAAGAAATGCACCATATAAAATCACCTGTCACTTTGTCACCATCGGGCTACTTTTATCTGGGTGAAATTCCCTGGTTGGAGCCTGAGCTCCCAGTTTAGACTGACACCATTCAGTGCATCATGGAGAAGCCCTGGTGTATCTACAGGTGCTGTCCTTCAGATGATGCATTAAACAGATCTCGGCCGCCTGCTCAGGTGGACGGGCAATAGAGATCTGATCATTGGGGAGCAGAGACTCTTCACGCTCAGCTCCCAGTAACGCTGCAACCTAAGCCCCAACGGGTAGGGTAGTCCTATCTGGTCAAGTAGCAGGAAATGCCAGGCATCGCTTTCAATGGCAAGCTATGCGGTTTGTACTCGCACAAACACTCTAGAGCTCAACCCTTGGCTCTTGGTAACCAGCACCTAACAGTCTCCGGATTTGGGTAAGCCGGACGCGTTCCTCCAAGGAGAGAGTCTGCCTTCCATTCCATTAAATGTATGTGGGATTTTCATTTATAGGTGGGATACATGGAAATCTCAGTTTGCTTTGGATATTCTTAAGCATGGTGATGGGTTTCCGCATGTGTCAGGCACTCAGTTGACCAAAAAAATAACAATTATATGGCAGCTTATGTATATACAATTCAGATTTACATATGTATTAAAAGTTATTTGATTTTGTTGGTTTAAATCTCTTAGTGCTAATGGGTTCAGGAAGCACACTAGGTGGCGGCAGCAGAATGTGTTGATGATGGACAAAACCCCATAGGAATTGTAACCTTGTGTGTGTACTGTATTCTGCACTAAATAAGGTAATGTATTCTGTTTTGCACTTATATTTTTTAAAAAATCATTTAACTTTACATTGTGATGTGTAAACGTGTTGAGCTGAGCAATTATAATAAATCAATATTTTTAATGCTCTATTTCAAAGTTATTTATTATTCAATTTTACCCTACATTTAGCTTCAATTAACAACAACTTGCATTCATGTAGCGTCCTTCAAGCAAACTTGTGTCTTGGAACGCTAAACAGTGGTGGAGCATGACGCTGAGCCTGTGAGAGGGGGGAGATCACTTAGGCAACCCTATAATTAAGGGAAGAGTGCGTAATCTAGATCCAAGATAACAATAATGACCAAATTGTAATGTTTTTGTATTTGCATAAGTATTTGTACCTGCCACCATATTAAGCATAAAGCAAAATAATCTTTTGGTTATCTTCAACTCACTGTTTGTATCCAAGGGAGTTTGAATGATACAAACAGAATCTGGGAAATGATTTGAGATAACCAATTGAGAAGAAAGGAAGAAACTAAAAGGAGGTTAAACATTTAATCTTCTCATTGTCATTGGAGTCCTGTAGCTCAGTTGTTAGACTTGCCTCCCAAGTGAGAGACCTGGGTTCGATTCCCGGCAGGGTGAAACCTTGAGCAAGTTTCCTTGCTCCACACGCCTGATAATAATCCCTCGAGAAAAAAAACACAATAATAATTCAGTCACTTAATCCGCGACTGTTTGTGGGACATTGCTGTGCGCAATTGGCTGCCGTATTTCGTTCACAAATATACAGTCAATTCACTTTACAGTATATTGTGTGAAGTGCTTTGAGACGTCTCGAAGACGTGAACAAAACACTATATGAAATATATATATTATATATATATTATAAAGTCCGTTGTTCTTTAAAACCTGAGCCAAGGAAAGGAACTAAAGGAGACATTAACTAAAGGTAGACATTGACTTAATAAAAAGCATTTTCTTTTCCTTCTTTGTCTACAGCACATAGCACATCTATATTAAAGGCCAATGGGTAGTGAGCAGGAGAGTGGAATTAGATTAAATGATTTATATGGAGAAAATCAATAGTGCCATCATTTCTTGGCCATTGTTTGTGTTGCAGTCTATGATTTTATGAAATCGATTTCACATCATCTGTTCTTCAAGTAATTATGGTGAAAGTGAAACCGATTTGCAGCACATTTTCAAATGGGAGCGTGCCCTTTTAAGACTTCGGGGTTCACCGTTTGGCAGTAAAGAGTTCTGAAAGAAAATACTGCACAACATAGTGCTATAGAATTTCTGATGTAAAGTGATGATAAAAACGTATTTGCAAACCACGAGTATTCATTCGATCGCACGAGTTTAAAATGGGTCCATTTCCTATGCAAATGCGTGCACAATGTCAAGGGACTGTAACTGCTGAGCGATTTACGTTTTGACCGTATTTACAAGGTGTATGTAGCCTGCGTAGTTGATGGAGAATTTTCTTCACACATAGCGTGTGTAAAAAAAATAATGTTCAAGGCTCCACAGCATTTTAAACTAAAACCACGCAATTGTGGCGCCAATTTTTTCCTTCCCGGAAAAGGCTTGTCAGGGTGTACAAGCTGTGTTTTGCTGACACCACACAGAGTGTAAAAGTACTGAAGAAAGTTTGGTGAAGTGCAATACAGTTAAAACCTTCTCGAGTGTCCTCCCGTGTCAGGCCAGAAGCTACAACTACAAACAATGTTTTTTTTTGGTTTACAAATACGTTTTTATCAGCACTTTACATCAGAAATTCTATAGCACTATGTTGTGCAGTATAGGTTTTCTATTTGTTAAAATATGTGAAAAAATGTGAAAAAAATTACGCTGCGCAGGCATTTGTGTCAAGTTCACTTTGCAGCAAATTTTTACAATGTGAATTTTATTATTTTTTAAATTGTAATCTGTGTATCTTTAGCTTAATTTAAGTAACTGACATCAACATCTCTCGATTTCCTGTTCTCTGCATGGGTAAACCGCTTTTAAAAGTCATGTTTTCAAGATTTACAAAGTGGTACAGGAAGGATATCGTAGCACCGGTACTTTTGTACATCGTTCCAGTATTCACCATTTATAGCTGATAACAACAACTTGCATTTATATAGCACCCCTCAAGCAGGACTGTGTCCCAGAGCACTCAAATATTTATACATAATTTAGTGATCCCAATACATTGTAGGTTTAAAAAAAAGTGGTTAGTCAAAAATAATTTACAGGAATGCCATACACAGATCTCTGTCTTTACCTACTGTTTTGCTTCTGTTGCACTAATTTGCCACAGAGTGACGAATCAAAGAACTAATCAATTTTGGCAGCTCTTTCATACATGCACAATGCCAGCTCAGAATGGTTTGATCACTATTCCCACCCCTGCCCTTACACAGATGAAATAATTTGGGGTCCTAAGAAAAGGTGAGAATGTTTTTAAATATCTATATTTAGGTCAAAAATGTAACTCCTGTAGCCCTTTTAGCCTTTTTAATACTTTCCACACCACCGTAATAATAGAAAATCAACATGTATTGCAAATATTTGGCAATTTCTTTTTAAGCCCCCTCTTGTTGAAGCTAGAACCACAAATGCTGTCTATAATTAGCACACATTATCAAAGTTAGGAAATCAGCTATTCTGATAAGAGGGTTTGCAGCTACTGAAGAGTATATTGTGTGATACGGAGCTAAGCCATACAGATCAGGATGGTCCAATAGTCCCAGGTGTGGCCTCTGGTCTCTATTGAGCTATAAATGATTTAAGATGGGATGACTGAGTATGACAATTAACTTTAACACCCAGAGAGGAAACAGATAATCAAAGCTAAGAAAAATAAATCGCTTGGTAGCTCTGCAAATGCCTAAAAGGACTTTATAAAACTAGCACTTGGCAAGCTTTTATTCCTTCCTTTGCCAAACGCACAAAGCTGGAGGCCGTGTGGTATGGAACTTGCTGCACCAGCAGCAAGATCCAGAGCTGAAATGGATGTAATCCCTGCTAGTTGTACTGGAAACCAGCCAGGGAATGGGGTGGCTTTATCATGCAAGCAGATTTTCCAGCCAGGAGACCGAAACCAGCAAGATACCAGCTGGGGTAAAAAAAAATTGCCAAATTTTGACTTCTGAAGGCACTGACTCTTTGCTGAGGTTTGTACAGGAACCAGCAAGCCTCCAGGATCTCCATCGAATGGACCTTCTTTATGTACAAGGATTGGCAGTGAGTGGCAGTAGATTATTCAATGGGGGGGAAGAGGGGAAAAACAATAGGTCAGAACATCACAATCAGAAGAGGAT